TTGGAGTCTGTGTTGCATCTCGCTTGAAGCTGCCCTTCCCCCATTGGAGAACATCATCCCCCTGACATTTTCTGAGTACGTTTGAGTTATAACTCACACGTTTGAGTAAAAACTCACACGTTTGAGTTATAACTCACACGTTTGAGTTATAACTCAGACGTACTCACACGTTTGAGTTATAACTCAACGCCGTGAGTTATAACTCAGGATTCTGTTGTGATCTGAGTTATAACTCAGAAAAAGTCACAATGACCAATCCGTCATCTGTGTCCATAAGTCCCTATTTGATAAATCATCACATAATAATATGTCATTAATAGTTAAAGGGAAATAATATAGATTTTTCGAAGCTAAAAATATAAATTTATATCTCCGGGCATGAGCACGTCAAACTTTGCGATCAGTGTCCCAAAAATACTCGGTCTGAACATTTGCCGGGTGTTCCAGGAACACCCGCTTCTGTTGTGAGCTCGCGCGCCAGCCATCTCAGTACCAACTTGCCCGCGTTCTCCCGTCATCCGCAATCCCCCTTTTATTTGATGGGAGAATATCACTCTTCTCGTGGTAACGTATTTTATCAAACACGACAAATCCTTTTTCACAAATACAAATCGGAGAAACTTTTGTGTTCGGCGACACACTTTAACAATTATCGACATCACTTTAGTGAGCGACGTCACAATAGGACATCACTTTAAGGCGCGACGTCACAATAGGACATCACTTTAAGGCGCGACGTCACAATTGGACATCACTTTAAGGCGACACTCCTTTTAATCAGCTGAGGCTGAAAATGCTACATTTTAAAAAAAAAACTCTCCCGAACAAAAAATCAACTCAAATCCTATTTTAATAGTTTCAAGTTGATGACATATTGTTTGAGCATAAACGGAGCTTCTAGCAGATGACAAAAATTTTGTTGTATGAAATTTATTAGTAATCTTATCGAACGACGATGCTAGGTATCATCATGTAGCTTTCATCCCCTGCATATTTTGTACTTTCAAGGTTTGCATGTACTTTTTTTTTTTTACCTGTTGACGGACCTTCTGTTTGAAAGTCTTGTAATCAAAATACATGAAGTATTCTGACCGCAAATCATACATGGCTCTGTAACCTCTCTCCGGGTGCACATCTTCGTCGATATCTTCAATGACATACTCTTGAGCCTCTGACCCTTGCCACTGTATCATTCCGAGCCAGTTCACCTCTGAGATCTCATGATTTGCCATGTAGTTTTCTAGCACAGCGATGTTGTCATCTGCGCGGCGGATCAGTTCATCGAAAAGATCTTTCAGTGCTATCAATCTTCGTTCAAAGTTTAAGAACAAATAATCGGCGTATTCTGGATGCATCGCCTAGATATCTTTGAGAGATATCATCGGCTGGTCCTCGTCGTCAAATTGTAGAACACCCTTCTCGATGTCATCATACAAGAGAACTCTGGCCCTTGAGTGGCGCCATTTTATCTTCGGTTCTGTTTGCTTTCTTTTGGCAAAGGCTCGCCAGGTCCATCGAATAGATCGTGATGATGGCCTTCTGCAACCACTTTCACCCAATGCGCTTTTGAATGGAGCTCAGGGCTTTCATCGTTGGCAGCCAAGGCGTATTTGAACTTGTAGATGGGCTTTTGTTGCCCATCCAAGTATCGTTCTTCTAAAATGACTTTGCTCCGATGTTTCTTGTTTCCTTCAGGAAGTGGCTGTTTTGGCTTGATGTATCGGGTATGTTGGATATATTAGGATTTTCGAAGTACATATTTGGAGAAACGAGAAAAAGAGAATGCATGTGAACGATAGAGAAATGATGTCGACTGATACAACTAAAAATGAAGACTGATGCGACTAAAAACATCGAGCGTGGCGAGTCAGAAAACGAGTTATATTTCTATGGAAATCATCCTGTTGATGATGTAAGAAAGCAAGACTCAAGCAAGAGCCAAAGTTGGATACTAATCAAAGTACCGACTACAGTGGAATGTGAACGGATAAACAGATTGAACTTGCAGCATGTCAGGCTGACGTAGAGAGAATTCTAAGAATTTCCACTGAGCTGGAGAAGAAAGAGTCAAAGTCAGAAGTTGACAGACTGTTCTCACTTTTTATAATATATTGCAAGCAACAAGTGAATTGGTTGATAAAGTAGGATCTTTGATTGATCTATATACTTCTATATACTGTAAATTCACATCCTTAGAAGGCAACAATACCTGGACAGCTAAATCGCAGTCAATTGAAACAGGTAGATTGCAGGCGGCACTGGATCGCTTACTTCTAACAACAAATTCTTTACAAAACTTGATCTCACAATCATGTATTATTCTTTTGAGCTTGACAATGAAAGTAAAGAATTGTGCACAATTGTCACACAATACGGCAAATATCAGTATCAACGAATGGCAATGGGATTGAAACCCGCTCCTGATGTTGCTCAATACTACATTGAGAAAACATTGCATGGGTTAAAAGAGCAAGGTGTTGAAGTCTACATCAACAATGTTGGACTCTTTTCTAATTCTTATGAAGAACACATGCAATTGATCAAGACAGTGGTCGACCGTCTACAGGAAGCTGGCTTCAAAATCAATCCTTTGCAGTGTGAATGGTGAGTTCAAGAAACTGATTTCTTGGGCCATTGGTTGACCCCTGAAGGTGTCAAGCCGTGGAAGAAAAAGGTAGACGCCATCCTAAAAATGGATGCACCTTGCAACAGTACTGAACTTCAAGCTTTCTTGGGCAATGTGACATACTATCGTCACATGTGGCCGCAACATTCTTACCTTTTGCAACCTTTAACAGCTCTCCCTGGCACCAGATCTTTTGTCTGGACCAACGAATGTGATACTATGAAGTCTTTGATGGCCAGCGATATTTTAATGCACTATCCAGATCACAACAAGCCTGTTGGAATTGCTCTCTTGGAGACCATTCATTGGAAACTCCTTGATCGAAGCAGTTTGACATGTCCAATCGGACAGACAGACAAATGTCCGTTTGGTCCGTTTATTTGGGGGATTCCTATGAGTCGGTGTTTACAGGGAATCCAAAAACATGGAATTGTGCGCTTGGACTATCAAACAGTCTGAGCGCATGAAAATCCCATACTGAATCCTGCAGGGAGTTGCGGGGAGTTTGCATCTGATGCGTGTGACGTGTCGTAACTTGTTATTTATTCCGAATCAAACCGCGCATGCCAAACGAAACAACACCAAACGGAGCGAAGGTTTCCAAACGAAACCAAACGACACGAAACCACACGTCTCGTGTTGTTTTGGAATAAAACCAAACAAAACGAAACCACGCGATTTCGTGTCGTTTGGTTTCGTTTCGTTTGGTTTCGTTTTGTTTGGTTTTGTGTCATTTGGTTTCGTGTCGTTTGGTTTCGTTTTGTTTGGTTTCGCTTTGTTTGGTTTTGTTTCGTTTGGCTTCGTTTTGTTTGGTGGTTTCGTTTCGTTTGGTTTCGATATATTCTAAAAAATTGTTCGTTTGGTTTCGATTGGTTCGATATATTGAAAAATCGTTCGCCTCGAAAAGGAAGGCGCAGAACCAACAACAAGCAATATCTTCGATTGTTTTATATATTGAAACCAAACAAACGATTTTTCAATATATCGAAACCAAAGCAAACGAACAATTTTTTAGAATATATCGAAACCAAACGAAACGAAACCAAACAAAACGAAACCAAACGAAACAAAACCAAACGAAGCGAAACCAAACGAAACGAAACCAAACGACACGATCGTGTGGTTTCGTTTCGTTTCTTTTGGTTTTATTCCGAAACAACACGAGACGTGTGGTTTCGTGTCGTTTGGTTTCGTTTGGAATCCTCCGCTCTGTTCGGTGTTGTTTCGTTTGGCATGCGCGGTTTGATTCGGAAAATAAATAACAAGTTACGACGCGTCACACGCATCAGATGCAAACTCCCCGCAACTCCCAGGAGTTCTGTACGTGGGTTTTGTACAGGCCTTTCAATACAGTAAAGGTTTGGGAAATTTGAGTTTTCGTCCAAGGCTTTTGCTTTGCCCATTCCATGTATATAGCAAGTCTTTTAGAATAGTTATTTCCTGTAGAGATGATTTTTTCCTATTAGACGGATCGGAGATCGCTATGGTCAGTGCCTCTGCATGACGACTTGATGGGTCGCATGTTGGCACGGCTAGTTGGCAATGATGGCTTCATGGGCCACAAAGTTGTCAATCAGTTTGGACGACATCAAGCCTGTCGCTTGTCTGATGTCCACCAGAACTGAAATCCAACTAAGCCTTTTGAACTTTACGAACACTGACGCTTCTGACTATCAGATGGGCGCGGTAATCATGCAAGACAAGAAGCCGGTTGCGTATTGATGCACAAAAGAAGTATTCTGTAGTGGAAAAAGAAATGTTGGCTATTGTGCATTGCTTGAAAGAGTTTTGATCTATGCTTTATAGTACGCAATTGACTATCTTTACTGACCACAGAAATCTCACTTTCCGCATGTTGAATACACAACGAGTTTTACGCTGGCAAATGTACATGGAAGAATTTTTGCCTACGTTTACCTATTTACCAGGTAAAGACAACGTTTTGGCTGGCGTTTACCGCAAATGGAGAATTGTGTGAGGGGAAGAGTTCGCTTCCTACAGGTAAATGGATCGAATTTGACAAACTCAATGTCAAAATGGATCGTGACGATGAAATTTACAATAAAGACTGACCCTTCTGTGAAGGTTGGGTTGGGTTAGTACTGTATGATATATGTGCCGCGAAAGAACACTCTTGAAAACAGTCTTCCTCTTCCTTCCTCCCCCCTAAACTATCTAGACGTGGAATCGTGGAATAAGTATGATAAGATGAAAACAAAGCAAGGAGGCAGTGTATTTGCAGTTGAAAAATAAGTTCTATCCACAAACTTCTCCCTTGTTCACCTCACGAAGAAAAGACTCTGTAATTAGAGAGTACTCAACACAGAGATAACCTTGACATCCCCAGGCATTCCTTTCCTTGTGGAAGATTCGCATTCCAGCCTTATCGCCTGCTTCAAAAAACTTTGTCACTTGATCGAAATCAGTTTCATGCAGCTCTATTTGAATCTGGTTAATCTGAAGCTCTTTTTTGGCGATCAGATCAAATAGTAGTGGCATTGCTCTATACTCGCAGCCTTCACAATCAATCTTCAGAATATCAATTGTTCTTTTGGTGTGTCCCAGCTGGGCGATGATGGTTTGTAGACTCCTCGAAATAAAGCTGTGCTTTCCAACTTCGTGCTGCTCTCCATCCAATCCGATTCCCCAAGGATGAAAGACTGCGTACTCATGGCCTTTAAATTCTTCTTCTAGGGTAGGGTCAAATGTATGAGTCTCGCATCCCAAGAAGTGATGAACGGCCTTTTCGAATTCGATCTCGTTTTTACTTCCAACGGAATAAACCAAACAAGGGAGGCTCGGCTCAGCATCGAAATTTTGTTTCCTAGCATATTCCTTGTTTGCAATATTGTCGACTCCACAGATAAATTTTGGTCCATCTCCAAATGAGTTGAATCTTATCGCAGATTTAGATCCAAAACGTTCTTCAGCAAAACAAGATGCTTCTGGTTCAAACGCATCAAAGACTGATATCTTCTGAGATGGATTTATTTCTGATAACTTGGTTAAGTTCGTCCCGGGCAAGGCATCAATGCGAGCCTTCCGTCGTTGATTGAACCGCTCTTCCAGCTTATCAAGCCGCTCAGTACAACCTGTAGCGTCAAAATGATTGCTCCCGCCGTCATTTGAGGGAGGAAGAAATTTGAGTGTAGTCCAAAAGAAAGATGAAAAGCATACTAAGTAAACAATTTGCAAGCTTTTCCCGACATAGGTTCTGGCAACTTTCATTCGGTGCAAAATTCTTCAATCAGACTCGTATTGGTGACTGCGGGTTGTAAACGAAGGCTCTCTGATATAGTAGGGCACAAGGGACAGACTGAGGTCTTGGATCTTAAGCGAGTTGTGGTTGGAACAGTTTCTTCGAAGTACCAAAAAGGCACACCGAATGCTCCCTATCAGGAACACCCGGGACGGCCGGGAAAATCAATATCTACTCCCAAGAATTGTATGCTAAATTTCTATTTCCCGGCCGTTCCCGGCAGAATGAGACTTTCTGGTTGAGTAATTATACTTCCTAGTGAGAGCCTTTAAGAAAAAACACTTAATGGTTCTCAACGTGACGAACACATTCAATCATTTTGCCGTCCCACAAAAGGCTGAGGACTAACTTAGGCACAGTAGCGATTGAAAGATTGCTAGAGAGATATTATGAGCTTAATGGAGAACTACTTCCCTGGGCAGAACGCGATAGCCATACTGACATCAGAAGAGAAGGTGTGTACTGGATAC